GGGGAATTCTGGGAGTTGAAGTCCACCCCGCTTCAAGTTGCCAAGGTTGAGAAACACTGGTACGGAGGGACAAGTGAAACGATACGAAATGCTCAGACTAACGAGTCATTTCTAGAGATAGGTCCATTCACACAACCTGCTAAGACAAGGCCCCGTCCCTCTTGTGCCCCACACTAGCCGGTGGTGTGCCCCCAAGGTGTGCCCAGCTGGACTCAGGAGTGAACGTCCGGGCTCCAGTTCCCCTGTGCCCTGCTGTGCTGTGCTTGCAGCTCCGCCCCTCCCTTGTAACTCCGCCTCTCCCACTTAACCCCACCCCTTGGCTTTCCCCCCAACGGTTCAAGCCGCCCCACCGCCCTGGGGGGTGAGGCTCACCGGGTGTGCTGCTGAAGGTGGGAGAGCTGGCGGAAGGACTTCTCACAGTAGGAACAGTGGTACGGCTTGACGCCCAGGTGGATGCGCAGGTGCTGGGCCAGGTAGGAGGCGTTGGCAAAGGACTTGGAGCAATGCGGGCACTTGTGCGGCTTGGCCTCCGTGTGTGACTTGGAGTGGATCTGCATCTCCGACTTGGTGAAGAAGGTAAGTGGGCAGACCTTACACCTGAGAGGCGGGGAGGAAGAGGAGGGTGAGGGGCCCTGGCCGAGCTCAGGGGACTGCCCACGACGCGGCCCGGGCTCCGTGGGGAAGAAGAAAAGCTTAAGAGGAGGAGAACACACCACCCCTGGGGGGCAAAAACGGAGGCTGAGATAACCACGCTCGGCACGGAGGTTGAAAGGAAGCCTCGGGCGGGAAAAAATTGGACGTTGATCCCTGGAACTCGCTGCTACAAGACGCAGCCACGTTACCCTCTCTGCAGCGGAGGGGACCCAATCCAGGAGAGGCCACGGAGCCTGGCGGGGTGAGGGGGTGAAACCTCCATCTCTAGGGGCAGCGTCCCACCTGCCCCCAACAAAACTGGCACAGATGGGGGGCAAGAGCGGTTTTAACCCGCTGTTGGTTTGGAGACGGGTCGTGCCCGCCCCAGCGGCCCTTTTGGCGCGGGCACCCGTTTCTCAAACCAAAGATGCAAGAAAAGTCGCCCAGGTGGCCGTAATGGATTCTGTAAGACGTGGAAGTCTCAACACGCCCATGTCCCATTTCCTCTTTGAAATGAAACCTGGCATTCAACCATAAACCGCACGTTTATTTAGAGCCAGAAGCTGCTTCGTGTACCCACCTGTACGTCTTGCCCTCTTTCCCGATGTCTCCCGAAGCTAAAATAGGATACGGGACCACGAGGACCGGGGGTCCCGACGGGTTCTCGGCCTTGATCTTCTTGCGGCCTCGTTCGGTCTTGGGGGCCCCCAGCAGGCTGTGGCCCTGGATTGTCTTGATGGAGTCCAAGAGGGGGGGGCTGGTGATCCCCGAAATGAGGGTGGGCGAGGAGGCAATGAGATGGCTCTGGCTGGAGGAGGTGGGTGTGGAAGGGGTGCTGGTGCCCGTCCCCGCACTGGATTCAGAGGTGCTGACGGCTGGAGTGCGGGACCCCAGCCCCAAACCTAGAAGTTGGGGGAAAAGTCTGAGCAAAGTCCCGAGGAGGGGACCCCATCCCGTCCCCCGGCTTGGTTCAGCCCACTTCTCCTCTCCCTATTTTTTTTTTTAATAAACAACAAATGATACATGTATTTCTCTTTTTCAAAGCAATGCCCCAATTTTACCCCTGGGAACAGAAACACGCACATGCACGGACGAAAAAGAAATTCTGTGCAACAGGCAAGATTACTAATAGCGGTGTTTCTTCCACAAACATCCCACTCAGCCCCCTCCCTGCAGTATTTCTTGCCCCAAAATAAATTCAACGAGATGCGCCCTTTGCAGAAAAACAGCACAACAGAATCCATAGAGCTCCACCCTGCTTTAGCACTACCAGCACCCAATCACCGTAACAATGAGGAACGGAACCTTGACTCCGGCTGCCCCTTTTGTCTGCATACCTGTGACGGTGCTGGTGGCAGGGCGAGCGTGAAGGGCCACGTCTGGCTGGGGGACCGCCTGGGGGTGCAGCCCCGGGACCTGCTGGAGCTTCGGGATGGACATAATCGACTGGCTGCTCTCCGCTGGCGAGGGAGGCACCAGCAGGGGCTGCTGGGAAGACACCGAGGTGGGGGGCAAGTGGGGGGGACGGATCTTCTCAGCCATAAGCTGCTCCTTGATTTTGTTGATCAGAACTAGATTGTCCAGCTGGTGACCGGAAGAGAAGAGAGAAGGGGGTGACCGACCCAGAGCAACCAAAGGTCCGTGACTTAGAAACGGCAGGATGCCGAGGAGCAGGGCTCAGACTAGATCTGTGTTTCTCAGCCTTGGCAACACGAAGACATGTGGACTTCAACTCCCAGAATTCCCCAGCCAGCCCTGCTGGGTGGAGCTTGAGAGGTGGACAACCAGCTGTAGCAGCCAAGGCAAATTTAAGGACTAACAACAATTTCAACAACAGAAGCATTTTGTCTACACCCTAGACCTGATTCAATGGAATTGAAGTATTTCCACCAAACTTCTTCTGGTCTCTGAAGCGAAGTCGTCGTGGAGGGGAGGCCACTAGGAAATCTCGAACAGCACGGTGGGACAAAACTTCCCAGAAGAAGAAAACAGCGGAGCCCCACATGGACACACCCTTGTCATCCTTCCAGAATGTTACTAAATGCAATGAATACGGTGCTCCCCAGTGGTTTCTCCCACATCTCCCTCCCCATTCCCTCAAAATTATAATGGGAATTTGGAAGAACGGCTAATTAAGTTGCGGCAATACGCTTTGATGTCCGGAATAACGTCGTATTTAAAAAGTCAATCAGATGTTGGATTCGGTTCCTGGACCACAAACTAATACATGGATTGGTACCACAGCCCCGATTTGGGTTTTTCTGCATACAGAGTCCGTGTGTCAGTTTCATGGGAAATTAGATTTCTAGGGTTGATCTAATTGGCTATGGCTTATAATGTTAGTTGGCGACCTATAGTGTGTTAACCAGGTGTTCTTAGTTTAAAGCTCGACTGTGATTTTTAGTTTTTCCTTTAAAAAAGCGATATAACAGATTTCATAACTTAATTTCTTGATAGATTTCCTTGTAGCAGAGCCCTTAGCAAATCTTGCAGCATTTATTCTCCTTCCTTCATAATGTTAGTTGGCGACCTATAGTGTGTTAACCAGGTGTTCTTAGTTTAAAGCTCGACTGTGATTTTTAGTTTTTCCTTTAAAAAAGCGATATAACAGATTTCATAACTTAATTTCTTGATAGATTTCCTTGTAGCAGAGCCCTTAGCAAATCTTGCAGCATTTATTCTCCTTCCTTCCTCTTTCATTCCTGTCTTCCTCCTGCCCCCCCTCTTCCTTTCCTTCCTTCCCTTCCCTTCTTTTTTCCTTTCCTTTCCTTTCCTTTCCTTTCCTTTCCTTTCCTTGCCTTTCCTTTCCTTTCCTTTCCTTTCCTTGCCTTTCCTTTCCTTTCCTTTCCTTTCCTTGCCTTTCCTTTCCTTTCCTTTCCTTTCCTTGCCTTTCCTTTCCTTTCCTTTCCTTTCCTTGCCTTTCCTTTCCTTTCCTTTCCTTTCCTTGCCTTTCCTTTCCTTTCCTTTCCTTTCCTTTCCTTTCCTTTCCTTTCCTTTCCTTTCCTTATTATCTTTTTTCCATTTAATTAACCAGATCATCCACACACACAAATCCTTAAGAGACCGATCTCTCTTATTCCTTTAAAAGTTTTACTGTCTTCTCCTGACCTCATTCCTATCAAGTTACCCTATTTGTTTATCAACACCAATTACATTTATGAAGCAAATTTTCTACTTAAGGAGCATTCCCAGTGATGCAACCGTGTGGATAAAAATCACCCCTCTTCCTCTAGGGCGAATGGAAGCGTCTTTCCAGCAATCAAGACATGAGAAAAGACTTCAGGAAAAAAAAAATACTCCTTTTTCTTACATACACAAAGCTCATAATGAAAAAATTAGGGGAATGGCTACTGTTCTCCTATGGCGGGTGAAAATTTATTTATGTATTTATTAAATGTGTACGTTGCCCATCTCCCCCGGAGGATGACTCTGGGCGGCTCACAATTAAAGTAAAAGCCGAAAACTGTTAAAAATATAAATATCCACATTAATTAGTTTAAAAAGTCAGACTATATAAAAAGATCCTATACGTAAAAAAACTAAAAACATTCAGGATGACGGGGGGGGGGGGGGGGAGTGTAGAATCAATTCCCCCACAAGCCAATTCCCCTGGTGGAAGCCCCTGTCCTCCCAGGCAGCCTTGATGGGATAAAGTTGAACCCAAAATTGCTCCCTTGACTTACATACATAAATGTTTATCAGGCTGTCAAGGGGTTAACATTTCCAGGAAAAATCAAACCGAAACTCTCCTGCCTCAAGCCAATCAGTAGGGTGAGCGTTGGTTCTTGAGGACTAGAAACTTTGGAAAGCTGAAACCAGGCAGCCAGCTTGGAAGAGCTGCAGGTCCTGGAAGCAGAGAATCGCGTTCTTACCTGACTGGGCATGGTGGGAGGCGGTGGCCAGAAATAGGTGTTGTTAAAGCGCGGCTCCGCCATTCTGAAGAGAAAGAATGGGAAAAAGGGGGTTATGGGCCAGCTGTGAACTGCAGATGTTTTTTCTCGGCCCGTTTTCCTCCCCAAACCCCACCGTGCTCCAGAAAAGGCGGAGGCGCCCAAGAACCCCGAGTAAATTCCAAACCCGGAGCAGAAGAATAAACGGCAGGGGGAAAAACAGCTGCTTTGTTGGGCAAACATCTGGAATCCTACGAGCTCTGCCTTTTTCTCTCCTAACCGGGTGCAAGACCAAAGAGAACCTGGTTAAACCATAGTTTTAAAAATCCCGTCAAGACCACAAGCCTCTTTTAGCTCTAAGTCTAGTTTCATGCAAAATGCAGGATGCTTTGGCTATCACCCCACGGGACCCCCTTTCTTTTCCCCCTTAAATCCAAACCCCGAGATTGGGATGGAAGAAGACAGAGCTGCCAACAGTGAGGACGGGGTGAAGCTATGTAGAAGCCAAAGAGAAGGCTTCGGAGCACCCCAAAACCGAATTTGCAGCACCCCAAAACACTGGCATCAAAAATGGGGGGACAAGACAGCTGTTTTTTTCACTTGTGGAATTGGGAAGGATTAAAAAAAACCCCATCAAAACCAAAACATCAAATCTTTCAACCCCACCAAGCTCTAACTCTCACGGGTAACATAAAATATTTCTTAAAATACAAAAAAAAAAAGTTGGACCCACTTTTAAACCCTCCCCACTTTGCTTCCCTGGGCTTCTGATGCAAGGCAAGGAGGAATGGGAAAAAGACATCTACGACCCCCTCAAAGAAATGACTTCTTTGTCAAGAGAAACAAGTTTTGAAAGGTTTTCCCCTTTGGAGTTACAGATGACCCCAAAGGTCCTATAGGGCAATCTCCAGCGATAATACAAATTAACCGATCAAGGAAGTGAGTGAATCACAGCACCAGTGGATGAAATGAGGAAACCCAATAATTTGAACTGAGAAAACACACTTCAAATCAGCACCAGTTAGAAGCCCCTTTGCTCAAAATGGCATAGGAATTTCGGTCGTTCTGGGCTCGAAATGACAACACAGTTGTAACAGGGCAACAGCGGACACACGCTGCCCCTCGGCGCCACGTCTGCGCTAGTGGCAAACGCAGGTGAAAGTCGGTGTCAATCATTTATGCCAAGCATCTTCTGGCCATGAAATACGTATACCCGTGTGAAAAAGGAGGGAGACCTTCAGTAATGCCTCTATTTTTTTCCTGGGAAAATGTGGACATTTGATTTAAGCAGCAGACAATAAAAATGGGGTGTGTGGGCGTCGAAGGTCCTCTAAATCAAGCCTCTGAACTGCATGGGGAAAACAACATATCTGAACCCCGACAACAGTGTCCAAAGTCACTTGTTCCAGGAAACACCGAACTGCAAAATTTGAACCACCCTGGATTAAACAGCATCTCATTCAACAGAAAGTCAAGCGGAGTTTCGCCATGAGTGAGGGTCTCCCTGCTGTCAGGAAATGGTTTCAGTTCATTTCTGTTTTCTGCAAGAGGAAACTTTTGCGTTCTTCAGAATGAAAAGTCTCTTGGGTGTACAGTGGATTTGAGGGCGAACTCTATGTGGCCACCCCATGCATTTTAGTCCAGGCTGGGAGAAGGCTGGGAGAACACAGCGGGGGACATTTGGGGGATCCAATGGACACAGCACACAACCCCCCTCAGCCCTTTGAAGTAGGCCAGGTCAAGACACAGGCCCTGCAAAGACACCAGGAAAGCTAGTTTATTGTTGTGGGGTAACAGAACAGAATCTTGAAAGCCTGCCAGAGTTTCTCTTTACTTCATCTTATACCTAACAAAATCAAGGGGGGGATATTTTGAGCTTTTTTTCTCACGCTCTCCTCTTTCTGTGTAATCTTTTCTGCAAATCCCTCCTCGCTCACCCACTCCCCAAGGTCAGTTCTATATCCCTTCATAACCCATCATCCACAAAGTCACCACTTTCGGTCACCCCAGACTGGGATTCTCCCACGTTCTGCGTCTGCTAAGAAACCTTCTTTGAATCCCAACTATACAAACTGTCCAGCATCTGAGTCACATCTATACATCCTGGTCATCCTTTTACGGCCTAACCCACCTAGGGTTAGGTTGGGGCTAAGAATAATTTGAGGTGGAGAGAGAGAAAGGACTTTACAAAGGAAGCAAACACCCCTTCCGCTTGGCAGTCATTCTAGGTGCGTTTTCCTGGACCACCAAGCTGGTTGATTTCTATTAGTCCAGCCAAACCTTGGTGCCCTCCATTGTTCATTCAGAAGGAACACCCTGGCTCAGTCCGTACCAACCACGTCCTTCTCCTGCGTACCAGGTCCACCCTTTCTACCGAATCACAAACTGATCAGCTGGGTAAGCCACATACGCCCACACGCAGAATTAACCACGTTTCAGACCTTCCAAATTTGGCACGCGGGGCAACTGGTCAACCTGGTTAGAGCGCTGTACGCGCCCATTCCCTGAGCCACAAGCCATGGGCCACAAGTGATGGGTGGCAACCTGCCACCAAAACCCATTTCAAAAACTCTTACAAGGAAACAATTTGGAGCTTCTGAGAAAACTTATCAGTCCTTTCGCGGGTGATACAAGCAGACAGAAGAGGAGAGAAACAGAGAAATCGATGGCCCCACCCATTTCACCCATGGCTCCGCCCACCACCATCAGGTACACAGCCTCGACATTTCTCCTTCCAAAAGCAGATGATCTTGAGAGGTTGATGTTAAAATACAAAAAAATACTTTCTAGGAAAAAGGTTCCCATGAACTCAAAATATACATCCACCCAGAAATCTGACTCTTGCTTCTCTGTATGAGTCACTGTTCTCGGCTCAGCTCTCAGCATCCAGGGACCAGTCTTTCTGTCCCATCTCTGAATCCCTGAATCACTCACTGATTTTGGAAACGCATCTCCCCAAACAGGAATCGGTCTTTAGGCTGGGTTTATTCAAGATTGTCCGTCATGAGCCCCAATGTATTTTCAGCTTGATATGATTAGCAAACCACAATTTATGGTTTTCCTGCCTTGTGCTTACTTAAATCATGGTTAAAACAAACCATGGCTTTATAGGATGCGTGATGCCAGCCTGGAAGGAACACAGGGTGAGAATGAGGGAACACTCTGCTTTCACAATCTTTTTCCCCCCAAATTTAAAACAAGGATAGTATCACCACCTCTTTCATTTTCTTTTAAAAGCAGCCTTGGAGTTCAGGTGTTGAGAAGCCTTGTGCTTTTAAAGGAATAGCAACACCCATGTGCTAATGCAGGGCGAGGGGAGAAATAGGGCACATGGCTATGCCAGCCTCTACAGTTTTGTGGTCTATGAATCTCAAAAATTCCTCTTCCCCAAGGGGGGACCAGTCCCAAAGAAGATTGGGAAGAACTGGTTTCCTGCATCAAACAAAATTTATCATCCTGTGGAAACCAAGAGGGAAAAGTCATCCCTCACTTGCTCTGCAGACAGGGTTTGTGTAGGCAGGGCCGAGCAAGGACCCTTCTGCTGAACTCAGGTGGCTCCCATCCAGCTTTTATGAACTACTGAATCTCCAATTCATACTTGGTGATATTTGCACTCACATTTCTACAGCATGTATTAGACATTCAGGAGAAACTTGAGAAGACTGTTGAGTGTGAATTAGTAACTTGTGGTGAGTAACTTGTCAGCATTCAAGGCTATAAAGAAAGAAACTCAAGTAATGCTGTCGTTCCCTGCAAGCTTCCTGTGATCCCACAGAAGATCCACAAACATTCCCACATGGGCAAAGAAGGGACTGACATAAAAATGTTGAGGATCAGTGCAGCTACCACATCCTGAAGGCTAGTTGTCACACTAGTGGTCATGGGGATCCTCTGTCAGGGTTAGCGACAGAAGAGGCTGATTACCGTGACCTTCGAACCCTGGTCAAACCCAACTTTTGCAATCAATCCAGGTCTTCAGAGGAAGCAGGTCGGAAAAAGCTACCCCTGAAGGGGGAGGGGGCCCAAGAGCCAGGGAGGGGCCTCGAACACCCCTGGAAGGGATAACCCGCAGGTTGATTCCCACGGCCCTGGTTTCTCAGCAGCCATGAGCTGGGATGAGGGGAAGGCCCTCCAGCTGGACACAAAGGGGAAGGAAGGAAGGAAGGAAGGGACAGGTCTGGCCACTGCTGGCCCACGGAGGCCCGCCCGAGCTCCGTGCAGGGTCCGGTCGCAGCCCTGCAAGAAGGGAAGATGTTAACCGCAGCTCGGTACTCACGGGGCGTCTTCAATACCCTGTCGAGAAGTGTTGCTGTGGCTCCAGGCTGTCCCCTCTGGTGCGGGCAGGGACACGCACCAGCCGCCGGGTTCAAGCCGGGAGGGGTCCCCGGCCTCCGCCAGTTCCTACCCAACTGCGGTTAATACAAGCTACGCCCCCAGGCATGGGGGGTTTCTGCCTTGGAGGCCCCTCGGCCTCTCGCCTGGCTGAAATAGAGAGAAATAAGATGTTTTTCACAGAGAAACGGCGGCAGAGTGCCAACGACATTGCCCAACCCCTGGCAAGAGCTGAGCATGGGCCGGGGGGGATGATAAGCCTCGTGTGGAGGGGCAGTCTATCTCGGGGGACCCTGCCAAGAGGGCAGCAGCAGGGTCCAACGGCACCTAGAAAGGGGATCGGATGGAGGGTCAACTCTTCAGCTGACTCGGTTGGTTATTTACTCTGCCCCCTAATTGGGCGCGAGCCGCCTTCTTGTGTTCACGACTGAGGGGGCCCAACGATGGGGAAAGGGCCCCATTTCAGGTGTGCAGGAGGAAAACCGAGATCCTGGCGCTCCTGAGAGAGGGCGACCATGCAAGGGAACTTCCCTGGGGGGGGCCCTCCTTAATCTGAGTACCTTATGTTCCAGTCACACAACAGGCTAAACCTGGTTGGGTTAACCTGGGTTAGCTCCTCCTATAGCTAGCATGGGCTTCTGCAACGGGGGGACGGGATGGCAAGGCACCCGGGATGCCCTTGAGGCTTCCAGCAGACGCCCAGAGCTCAGCGCCCAGTGCAAAGGCGTCCGGGTGACTTTCTGGTTGTACCCCTAAGACTCCCTAAGGACGGCTAGCCAGGTGTGTGAATCGGGCCCTTCTGGGAGCCTGGGTTCACCCAACAGGCTAAACCAGGTTGAGGAACCCACCAGCAATGCCCCAGCGAACCACATCGCCATTCGTGGGGAGGGCCTGGTTCACCTCTGTAGCTCGGGGGATGGCGCAGTGTCACGCCAACCCTGACCTACCAGAGGCTTGCGTGAACCCGGCTATGTGTGTGTTTCCACCTTTTCCTCCGAGTTGTGGTCCTGGGCAAAATCCCTCTTTCTAAAGACACCCTTCCCATCCAGGGGGAATAAGTCCTCCTTTGCTACGGCGGAGGGTTTCGGATGCATCAGCTCATTGGGGTTGCAGAAATCTGAGGGCAAGGAAGCAACGGCGGTCACCCGAGATGAGCAGAGAAAGCCAGCGGCTTTGGGGCGAAGGACTACAAACACCATAGCAGCAGCCCGGCGACAGGGGAGGAAGCCCTGCTGAAGTCACACCCCGGAAAGACCCCGTTCTCGCGCAAGCGTCTTGCTCGCTGCAAAGGCCCCCCAGAAGAATCGCAGTGATCCACACCGTTAGCTCTTAAGCAGAGTACACATTCATACAACGCGCACCGTGACCCATTCTCACGAATCGAACACGCCTTGCTGCAGTCAATAAACCAAATCCTTAATCCCCTTGCCCTCTCCGGGGCCCGTCACACGCCTGCTCTGGAATGTCACGTCCCTGTTTCCGAAAACTGCCTGTTCGCTTGGCGTTCCTCTCTCCGGGCATGGCTCCTCTTTCTCCTTTCTCCAACCCGCAGTGGTAGGACCACCAGATCTGGGCTGCCGAACTCTGACGGGCCATGGGGTGGCAGCAAAACAGACCCAGACAACGCTCTTGGCTGACACCTGGGGGTGGTCCAGGTTGCTGCAACCAAGATCTGACAGCCCAAGAAATGACATGGTACCTTCTCTTACATTTCTCTTCCTGAATACAACATACCCAGCCACTTTTTCCCATCTCTAGCCATACAGCCTTGTTCTGTAGTCGCTGACATAGAGCTGTTAGCGCTTTAACTGCCTCAGCGCCTGCAGCTTTAAACCTCTCAGTGGCTATTTGGTCTCCAACCGGTGCTTCCCTTTTAACAGCTGAACCTTTGCCTCTCCCATCACACCTCCTAGGAGTCAGTCATTGACTTATGGCCAAGCACAAACGCAGCGGTGTCCTTTTGAAGAATCGCTGGCCCGCCACTCTTTTGAACGGAGCCCTGCCTTGTAAAACCTGAGCTAGAGTGTCCTATTCCAGCCCCTTTAAGTTCGGGTATTCCTAAAGCATCTCATTTAGTGCACTGCGTTTCCATCTCAAAGCTTTCCTCCTGGAAAGTTCAAGCTTCCAACGTCCCACACTGCAAACGTGTTGTTGGGAATCGTGGAGCTGGGGCACCAGGCGTGGGAACTCCAGTTCTGCTCATAAAAGCTCACCCCACAAACTCAAGGGGAGGGGGAATTTCCTGGCCGTGAGAGCCACCAACCAGTGGAACCGCCTCCCTCCTGGGGGCTCCATCAACGGGGCCAAGTGGGACAGCCAATTGTCCGAGATGGTTGGAGGATTCCTGCCCGGGGCAGGGGTTGGACTAGAAGACCTTCAAGGTCCCTTTCTATGGTAGGATTCTAGGATCCTCTGCTCCTTCCAAACCCTGGGGGGGGGGTCTTAGCATTTGTTTCAGCTACACAATTTTCTTGGCAACCAGATGCCGCGTGTGGCCACGGGCATCTTCGGCCTTCGTTCCGCCTTCTCTGGACGGTGGAGGCGTCTTCGCTTTTCTCGGGGTGGCTTCCAGGGCGCAGAAGCGACTGAGTCTCCCAGCCAGGGAAGGGAAAAACCCACAAGTTCAACGCTTCTGTTTTTAATCACACCCCCTGGAATAAATCACGCGGCTTCTATCACAACCTCACAACAGGTTCGTTGCGTTCCCCAAGGCACGCGGGCTGTCTGCCCATTTCATTCTGGCCTTGCAGTGAAAAGACGCCCCTCGATGCCGCCTCAAGCATTCAGAACTGACAAGAACAGGCCAAGTCAAGGGGCCACCTATAAGGGAGTCTGACTGTTGCCTCTCTGGATGATATACTGCCCTGCCCAAATCTATCACTGATGGGTACCCAAAAGAAGTGGTCAATTCTGCCGAACGTTGATGATTTTGTGACTGGAACATCAGCACTCTGCACGCCCCCTTGGACTATCTTCCCGGCACTTTTGGTCACATAACGAGACATGACAAAACTCCCCACCCCAGAACAGACAAAAGTCTTCTTGGTCCAACAGCTACTGTACTCAAAGAAAGCGAAGCCTTTCCAATTCTGAAAGAAAATCAGGGCTGAAATGATTGAATCGGTGTTTCTATTTTAATTTGGGGAGATTTTTGCCTCGTTTGCCAGATGTTTGGGAGATGAACTGCGGCATTTCCAGACCCTAAAACCTTTTCTCCCAAACCGGGGCCTTGCAAACAGGTTGTAGCGCTTCAATTCTGCCGGGAGGAAATTCTGGGCAGTCCTAATATTGTGGGTGGGAATCAGACTGGGAAACTCTGTTCTGTAATCGACAGAAATATCCGCACGTCCTGCGGGGGAGTCCCATCCCCACTTCCTACAATTATTGGTTGATAAAATAAAGCAGAACCTTCAGATGTAATGGCAGTCTATCTGGGGATGCAAGGGGCTGGGGAAAGACGTGCCTTAAGGGGCCTTCCGTTTGGCCTTCGTTCTTGGAAACAGCACATTCAACTACACTGGCTTTGGGTTGATCCCACAGGTCTTCTAAACTATGTCCACGATCCAGGGAAGGTTAAAACACTAGGAGGCTAAGCCGGGTTCCCACAGGCTCCTGCAAATAAGTGACAGCACGTACATATTTCTGAAAGCCACCAAGGCAAGAACAGACAGAAGCGAATTTCAAATTTCCAAAATTTTCCTTTCTCTGGTCGCCTCCAAGCCCCTCTGGTTCACCATAGGCGACTAAGAGTTTCAAAAGCGTTTTCTGTGCAAAAGAACAATTGTTGGCTGTGAAAATTAATTACCACCCAATGTTCTTCTACGGAGGGTGCCCGATGAACCTCTGCCTAGTTCTGGCTCATTTCTCTCCAATCGGGACGCAGGTCCAGATCAAACTTGCTTGAGAAGACCCCAGAAAAGTCTTTTAACTCTCCCACCTATGGCAAAGAGAGTTTTAGGAGGGAAAAAATAAAGCGTGTTCGGTTTTATTTGAGGGGGAAGTTTGCCTTTGCAGGTTAAGCAAAAGAGGAATGCCCCTTCTGATAAAATTAATCAGCAACCTAGCGAAGGAAGAAACATACGCGTCAAACTGAGAAAAGAGGATGAATACAATTCTAATCGAACCTAAAACATGGATTTTATTCTTTTCAGGCATCTATCAATAAGAAGAGAATTTATTTAAGTTCACCTTATGACCGCCACAAGAAATGTCGCAAAATCGGGTGCGGTCACATGATACCTTGATTAACACTGCCTAATAGGGAATTTTCCAGTCCCTATAGTGGTCGTAAGTTGAGGACTACCTGTAGAGTCGTACAGTTTTGATGTCTTCAATTTCCCTTTTTCCTCCCCTTAAAATCTAAATCACATAAATATGTGTCAATGATTCAGTTCAAACATTCAGACAAGCCATGATTCCACTAAGCATGGTCTATTGATAAGCCACAATTAGCTGGGTTCACATATTACAAGACTATAAACCATGTTTTATAAATCCCAAGGGCTGAATTGATACACTAAGAAGTGATTTCCTTTAACCACAGTCTGTTTACAAAATACACTAAGCCACAAACAAACCATGTCTTAAAAAACACACAAAATTGCAGCAGAAGCAGTCCATCATATACTGCAATGAGTGTTGTTATTTATGTTTTCTCCCGCTCAAAAGTTTCAGTCTAACTTTGGTTTTCAGACCATTTCATTTCATTTCATTTCATTTCATTTCATTTCATTTTCAGACCAGTAGACGTGCTATTTTTAAATCTTTGCTTTACTTCATTAAATAAATAAACAAGCACAATCAATTACATTTCCTTTGATTCAGAACCGCAGGGGAAACCCCCCCCCCCAAAACTTCACATCATTTCCAACTTTGCTGGAAAGCCTGTCACACTAGCAGATAGTTGGGAAAACAAAGAAGGGATCAAGCACGTTGAAAGTAAGGGAAAAAATCAATTCATGTAATGAAAAACTACAAATCCCCAGAGACTGTAATCTTCCAATATTAAAATTTTGGCCGCGCAGTCCTCCAAATGAAAATCAGGCACGCAGCTACGCATATCTTAGGGGAAAATATTCCTCAAATGCATGCATCAGAACACATTCAAATGCCTTAGATATTTCTCCAGAGTAATTTTTTTCCTTCCTGCAGAAGAGGCCGCTCTTATTCCCAGGAAGCTTGAGAATTTCAGTTTAATTTCTCTTGGGGGGCTGTAAGTGGCGGGGGCAGTTCCACTGGCGTGGCGCTTTCTGGGACACACCTATCCACTCCTTTGCAACCTGGTTGATTGGCCACACTTCCTAAACTGGAGAAAGGAGGCTGTTATCTGTGCCACGGATGCACAAACATACACGTGCAAGCGCCCACATAAATGCACGCATCCCCTGGCCATTTGATAGCAAAGTAAGCACACAACACCCCATCGCAGCCCTAAACATTTCACTGAAAACCTGTTCTTCCTTGACAGTAATTCTGGAAGCAAACTCTGCATCCTCAAATGGAAAAACACGCAGGGAAGGTTTTTGAGACAACAGGAACGCACATCTGGATCAGCTGGAGGTGGGGGGGAGAAAAACAGGCACCCAGGGGCTGCAGGGACAGATCATAATGAAGAACAAGCGTAATCAAGCCCTAGATTTCTTCCAAGACAAGCCATCGCTGCCGTTCAGTAAAATATTAGCCCAACGTTTTCAACGGCTGTCTCTAGGAAAAAAGGAAGGGGTCAGTTTTACCCGCGCGGAAATGGACAAGGTGAGGCGGTTATTTTTCCTGATCCCTTCCCCATCCTGCAAATGTTTCTAGGAAAACAAAATCTGATGCCAGCGATTTTCAGTCGTAAGCCAGGCCCCCGATGGGAGATCCCCGAGGAGGACTAGGAAAAACCAGGCCTGCGGGGATCAGCGCAGCTTGAAAGATATGACGCGCGGAGCTGATTAAAGGGAAAATTTGTTTCGTCTGCCGCAAGGCGGGTAGCTGGACGGAGGAACTCGCTGCCACCAGGTGCCAGGATAACTGCCCGTCTGGCTGAGTCGAATGAGTACAGAGAAAACGGTGCAGGGCAGCATCTGGGGAGCGCAGAAAATTGTATTGGGGTGGAGAGGCCTTTTACGGTCGGGCGGCTTCTGAATCAAATAAACCATGGTAATAATGGTCCCACGAAACAATATAAAAATGAATAAAATGGATCCGAACACCTGAAAAGCCTGGGAGAGGATTAATGAAGAGGTGGACAAGTAATCTGGCTCCACATCTAGAAGAATTAGTCATCGGTGGTTAAGGAATGTGGGGCACAACTGGCTGGAAAAGCAGGACTCACGCAGAGACACAACGGACCGCCTCCTCTCCGGCCCCCTTCACAGGCTTCTTCCAGCCCAGGGGGAGGCGGGAAACGGGCCTTCCCGGTGCCCCATCCTCAGCGCCAGCGGGGTCCCTCGCGCAGGGTCTTCCTCTGCAGCCCCTCCCGGAACCGAAGGGCAGGGCTGGGGCTGGCGAAGACCGGCGTCTCCACAACACAGGCCGGAGTCTTTCCTCCAGAAATAAAAACCCATTTTTAGCCAGGGGACACGCCTGGACCACCTAAGCAAACAGGGGTCAGGAAACGCGTCCCTTTCAGGCCAAGGGTCAGGACCCTTCGGCAAAGCCCCCAAACTCGCCCCACCCACCGTCCAACAAACGTCCCTCTTGCTCGAAGAACAAACCCAGCGCAATGATGGTGTGGCATCTCTCAGTTGCCCTCCATTCTCAGCCACCAACAAAGCCACCCCAAACGGACTTGTTTTTCTGCAGCACGGAAGGGGAAATAAAGAGGCCACCCCAAATCTCTCCTCCCCCAAACCTCCCCCCCCGCAGCCCCAAACCCGCGCACCACCTCCCCAAAATGTGTCCATTTTCCCAAGGCCTCACAACTGGGCCGGAGTGGCATAGCCACCAATCGAGGCTAACTCGAGCTGGCAGCGGAGGAGGGCAGGCTGCCTTTCAGATCATGGGCAGAGGACCCCCCCCCGCCCCAAACGGTGAACACTGAACAAAAGGAAATGCACCCGCGCACACTCCAGAGGAACACGCAGCGAGTGAAAAGAAGGGGCAATTTGCAGGATTTTTCCAAGCAGCCGCGCACCCCTCCAGCCGCCCCCCCCGGAAATTCCTGCCTCCAGCCCCTCCCCGCCCGCCGATCCAAGGGCGATCCGGGGAACACGCTCCTCTGCCCCCAACACGAAGCATGAGCCACATACACGCGACCACCTAGGCGGGGAAGGGATGCGGGTCCATCGGTATATATTTTAAAACAAATCTGAACACTTCCACAACTCACAAACCCAGGAAAGGCGCCGGAAAACAAAACGGGGAGGAAATCTCGCCATCGGTGAAGGCTGCAAATTCTCCACCGTGAAAATCACACATTCCAGTTCCAACAGTTAAACTTCCCCAATTATTCCTCAGCAAACGTGGCATTGTTCAATATATTTGTCTCTCTATTTTTTTTTGGGGGGGGGGAAGGAAGAAGGAAAAAAGAGAAAGAAAGAAAGGAACGAGAAAAAGAAAAGAAAGAAAGAAAGAAAGAAAGAAAGAAAGAAAGAAAGAAAGAAAGAAAAAGAAAGAGAGAGGGAGGACACCATTCCCCACCATTTTGGGGGAGGAAATAAAACACCAAACAATCCGAAAAGATACATTTTGCAGTTCCTACAGTTGTTTTTTTCCAGGAGCAGAACCCTTTTCCAGTCCACTCTCCCTCCCTGCACACTGTAGGAGAAACACACGCTAAAAAAAAACACGGAGCGAGAGGAAAAAAAGAAGAAGACGAAATTACAGATGCGGGGTACATCGCGGGATTGCTTTTCCAGCCGCTTCCCGCAATATTTGCATCGCCAACTTGGGCAAAAGTTCGCCCGGGCTCTCGAACCGGCCCTCCCCCGCGTCGCCCCCCCGCCCCGGCGCAGTTCGCATGCAGGAGGCGCGGGATGCGGGACGAGGAGGCGAGCGCCGGGCTCCGCCGCGCCGCAGC